ATATCTATCTATCTATCTATCTATCTATCTATCTATATATATCTATCTATCTATCTATCTATCTATCTATCTAAATTAGACAAGACTATAAAGAGCTGTTAACATAGGGATTCCACACGTGGTTAACAAGGGGGTGTGGCACACAGGAGGAGCAGCACTATCAGGATGTGACACATATTGTGTTTTTATATTGTGATGATTGGTTTAGAGTTAGACTTACAGGCAATAGTTAAGCAATTCCAAGTCTGGCCAAATTTGAGGAAGTGTTTTGGGCCTGGCAGTTAGCAGCTGCAGCCAGTTTATAGTGTTTAGCTTGATCAGCCACTTTTGTGTAATTTTTGTGTTTTGTGCAAGCACTGTGAAAGTGTTGTGAAAAAATGGTTGCTGTTTTGTTCATATGAGTTTGGAATTGACAACATGTATTGATACCTGGGTCAATGCAGTTCACCTAAGAAAACTGCAATTGGAGGAATTGCTTAATTAAGCCACACCTATTGTTCACACAGGTATATACATAGGCGCCCTGTCACGCAATTTCTTGCAACAAGGATTAGCAGCAGAATGGGTGGTTATACAGGAAATATTATTGAATTTTGGATGTTGTCTTTCCAGCAAGACAGTTTGTCAAATATCTGCCCTGCTAGAGCTGTCCTGGTCATCTGCAAGTGAAATGTTTGCTAAGGACTAGATGTCTCAGAGCAAGCTCAGTTGTGAGATTTGATCACCCTACTTCAATACCCAATCTGAATAGCATCAAATCTCACCAGCAGTGTTCTAACATCTATAGCAAAGCCTTCCCAGAAAAGCAGAGGTTATTGTGGCAACCATGGGCCAACTCACTTCATATTAATAGCCTTGGTTTTGGAATGAGATGTTGAACATACTTTTGGGTATAGAGTGTATTTAAGTTTAGTCCAGTGAGACCATTATCGGCTAGGGACAGGTTTTTAAGATTTTAAGATGTTTAAGATTTGGATGTGCCCGTTTTTCTTATTATTGGAATTGCTATTGAATTCACACAGCTTGCTTAAATTATATAAATTTAATTAAACTATGAAACAAAAATGAAGACAGCTTTGCTGGGCAACAAGTGAAAGTGCAGGTTTCCTCTGCTTTCAGTTCTTCTAAAGACATTACAGACGCTCCTCTACTTACGAACTTTCAACTTACAAACTTTCAGACATATGATACGAAAACATCAATTTTGTTTCTGCGCACCAATTCCACCTAGTACGATTTCTGGCCTCTACTCCCACGGCGCAGCAGTATAGCGTGTGTTCTCCCAGCATCCTAGTTCTTTATACTTGCGTACCCCCTATCAATGTCTCCACAAGCGCAAGGTCTACATCAGTGCCACACCCACCTTTGCCGCTCCATGGCCACTTCTGCTGCTCCTTAACCTTCTGCTTGCAGGCTGGGGGTCCATGTCAGCCAGTAAGAAAGGATAACAGGAAATATAACAGGGGGCACTGGCTGGTGTCCAGAAAAGAATTAAAAATCAACCAAGAAGGTGAGGGCTCACGACTGAAACCAGAAAGTATAGTGTATGCAGGGGTGTGGCGGTAAAGGACAGGAGAAAACAAAGAAATGGATGACTCACAGGGTGGAATTAAAATTATGGAAGTATATATATATATATAAAATATCCAGAGAAACTATATATAAAGTCTACTTTCAAATAAGTCTATAAACTTAAAACTTTGTGACGAGATCATCAAACCTGAAATATTGATTTTTAAGTAATTGTATCTATCTGAATAATTTTGAAAAACAGATGATTTTGAAATGAAAAGATTCAAATATCTGCAGAACTACCATTTTTTTGTTGATAAAAATTACAACTTTTCTTGACATAAAAATGACCTAACTTTTCTTAACATAACTGTAGATATTACAAATAAAATATATTCAAAACTATATATATATATATACAGTCATTGACAAAAGTCTTGTCACATAAGGACATAGTAACTTAAAAAGGCATATAACTTTATTTCTAATCAATCAATTGTTACAATGAATGGATCAATTTAATGCCAAGGGCTTTCACATTAATAACTGGGTGCAAAATGAAACAGTCAAAAAGTGTCCTGATGTTCACAGCACCTATTTTTGCAAGGACAAAAGTCTTGTCA